CAGCACTGAGCATTGAATTGGTTATTTTAGTAATGATAATTGAATTGGTTATTTTAGTAATGATAATTAAATTGGTTATTTTAGTAATGATAATTAAATTGGTTATTCCAGCACTGAGAATTGAATTGGATATATTAGTAATGATAATTGAATTGGTGATTTTAGTAATGATAATTAAATTGGTTATTTCAGCACTGAGCATTGAATTGGTTATTTTAGTAATGATAATTGAATTGGTTATTTTAGTAATGGTAATTGAATTGGTTATTTTAGTAATGATAATTTAATTGGTTATTCCAACATTGAGAATTGAATTGGTTATTTTTATTATTTTAGCATTGAAAATACAACTTTCATTATGATAAAAAAGTGTAATTTTTCAACAATGAGGATAACATAAGTTATTTCAGCAATGAGAATAAGATTGGTTCCACCAGCAATGAGAATAAGATTAGTTCCACCAGCAATGAGAATAAGATTAGTTCCTCCAGCAATGAGAATAAGATTAGTTCATCCTGTAATGAGAATATAGTTCCTCCAGCAATGTAAATAAGATTAGTTCCTCCAGCAATGAGAATAAGATTAATTCATCCTGTAATGAGAATATAGTTCCTCCAGCAATGTGAATAAGATTAGTTCCACTAGCAATGAGAATATAGTTCCTCCAGCAATTTTTCAACAATGAGGATAACATAAGTTATTTCAGCAATGAGAATAAGATTAGTTCCTACAGTAATGAGAATAAGGTTGGTTCCACCAGCAATGAGAATAAGATTAGTTCCTCCAGCAATGAGAAAAAGATTAGTTCCTCCAGCAATGAGAATAAGATTAATTTCCAGCAATGAGAATAAGATTAATTCCACCAGCAATGTGTACAAGATTAGTTCCTCCAGCAATGAGAATAAGATTAGTTCTTCCACCAATGAGAATAAGATTAGTTTCATCAGCAATGAGATTAAGATTAGTTCTTCCAGCAATGAGAATAAGATTAACATTAGTTTCTCCAGCAATGAGAATAAGATAAAGATTAGTTCCTCCAGCAATGAGAATAAGATTAGTTCTTCTAGCAATAAGAATAAGATTAAGATTAGTTCCTCCAGCAATGAGAATAAGATTAGTTCCTCCAGCAATAAGAATAAGATTAACATTAGTTTCTCCAGCAATGAGAATAAGATAAAGATTAGTTCCTCCAGCAATGAGAATAAGATTAATTCATCCTGTAATGAGAATATAGTTCCTCCAGCAATAAGAATAAGATTAAGATTAGTTCCTTCAGCAATGAGAATAAGATTAGTTCCTCCAGCAATAAGAATAAGATTAATTCCTCCACCAATGAGAATATAGTTCTTCCACCAATGAGAATAAGATTAGTTCCTACAGTAATGGGAATATAATTCCTCCAGCAATGAGAATAAGGTTCCTCCAGCAATGAGAATAAGATTAGTTCCTCTGGCAATGAGAATATAGTCCCTCTACCAATGATAATATAGTTCTTCCAGCAATGAGAATTGAATTGGTTCCTCCAACAATGGGAAAATAGTTCCTTCATGGATGAGAATATACTTCCTCAAGCAATGAGAATAAGATTTGTTCCTCAAGCCATGAGAATAGGATTAGTTCCTCCAGCAATGAGAATAAGATTAATTCATCCTGTAATGAGAATATAGTTCCTCCAGCAATGTGAATAAGATTAGTTCCACCAGCAATGAGAATATAGTTCCTCCAGCAATGAGAATAAGATTAATTCATCCTGTAATGAGAATATAGTTTCTCCAGCAATGAGAATAAGATTAGTTCCACCAGCAATGAGAATATAGTTCCTCCAGCAATGAGAATAAGATTAATTCATCCTGCAATGACAATATAGTTCCTCCAGCAATGAGAATAAGATTAATTCATCCTGTAATGAGAATATAGTTCCTCCAGCAATGAGAATAAGATTAGTTCCACCAGCAATTAGAATATAGTATCTCCAGCAATGAGAATAAGATTAAGATTAGTTCCTCCAGCAATGAGAATAAGAGTAGTTCTTCTAGCAATGAGAATAAGATTAGTTCCTCCAGCATTGAGAATAAGATTAGTTTATCCAGCAATGAGAATAAGATTAAATGAGAAAAAGACAAGTTCCTCTAGCAAATTAGCTGACAATTGACAATTAGCTCATAATTGCAATTATCAAAAAAAAAAAAAAAAGCAAGTAAATTCTACTTCCCATCTATCAACACTGATGAAGTATTAAATCAAGAGAATTGTTCTGTTATTTAATCTAAGAGTATTGAAATCAGATTGGAATTTATCATAATATCCAGGTGGTAGGTAATTGATTTGTACGAATGGATTCTGATATTGAGTAGAAATGGTAGTTAATAGGATATTAGGTAAGAAGGTGGTCTGGTACTACATAGTGTAAAATACTATTAGTGAACCGTAATGTAAGGAAGTATAATGGACTAACCCTACTAATCATGTAAAACCATCACACCTTTTATCCTTTCATTTATATATTATAACTTATACTACACTGAGTTATACATGTTATATATTGACATAGAACTATTTATTTTATATTAATTGGATATTATTGAACTATCATCTTTATGCTGATAGGACAGTTTTATGATAGTTCTGTGTTAGTTTGGAAACATGTTTTTTTAATTGACTGGAAATTCATTGATTAGTTTGGAAATTATATTAGTT